TCAGGATTTGAGGTTGTTTTCAGACAATTCATGAAGCACCCATTTTCCAAGTTTAGGAACTTTTCCAAGTTGTTGAAGATGACGTTGAACAGCTGTATGGTTTGAACTGAGAACCACTGTCAATTCCTCAACTGATAAAGCAGGATTTTCTTCAGGGTCTTCTTCAAGAAGCTTTTCATCAAACTCAACTGGACGTCCGGTTCGATCTTCATCTTCAAGGGTGAAATCTCCACCTCAGAATTTTGCAAACCATCTTCTGCAAGTTCTTTCATTCACACATTCCTCTCCATAAACTGAGTGAATGTTTCTAGCCACTTCGGCTGCTGAGTTTCCTTTCTTGAACTCATAAAGCATTATGTGCCTCAAATGATTCTTCGGTACTTCCATGTTAGCGGGGTTTGAATCAAACAAAATTTAATTTTATTGTTCTCTAAAATAAAATTTGATCAGTTTAAATGCATCTAAACATAAAAATAATGTTCAGCTCCATTAGACATTATACTTTAAATTTCGTTCATTTTAACAAAAAGTTAAAACTCGGACAGAACTTATGGGATGACCTGATATATATATATATATATATATATATATATATATATATATATATATATATATATATATATATATATATATATATATGAAGGTTGTCAATAAAGTCAGTATACGGTTACTTATAATAAAAAAGCAAAGGAATGAAGCAGGTAACTTGCAGTTCGAACAGTATCGGTAATTGATTTACTACTGTTCACCATACCATTTTATTGTTATTAACAAGAACCATTTTAATAATAAATTTCTGAACTGTTGATTAATTGGTTTGTCTTAATTGTTATTGTAAGTAACTGATTTTATTGCTACCCTGTATATATATATATATATATATATATATATATATATATATATATATATATATGAAAAAATATATATATATAGATATGAAGAAATATTTTTAATTACTTTAAGGTATGCAATATTTATGGGATAAACTATTAAATATCAGAGATAGAGTGTATGTAAATATAAAAGTGAACATTGAAGTCAACTCTCAGAGGCGACAGACTGTTTTATGCTAGACGCAATCATCAGGCCTGATGATTGCGTTTAGCATGAAACAGTTATATATATATAATTTAAGTTATATATTATAATTTAATTGATTTAAAATATGTTTTTTTCCGCTACACAGTTCTAACCATGTTTCAAAAATGGAAGCTAGAAGCCACGAATTTAATTTTGCAATTAAAACCCAGTAATTTTAAAAGTTACTCCAAAATTCGCTTGAGGATGAAATGGAACTAATGTCTTTAATTTAATTGCAAAATTTAGTGGAGAGAAAAGACTATAAAGGACAGGTTCCATGAAGGAAGAAGATTGATGCTGCCCTCCCACCCAGCATACCACCATATAAAAACCAATAAGGATTACAAACTGCAATTTCTACCAGTTGCATATACGCAGTCATCAAAAACAAGCAAATTACCAGCTTTAAAATAATAACAAATCAGCCTTAAAAAATAATAGCAATTTTTACCTATGATAATAATAATCAACTCCAAAAGGTATTCATATTGACTGACAAAGCCATGAACATATACACTATGGAACCCACAGCCTGCAATAAACTTGTAACCAACAAAATTACACAAATATACAAGACAACCGCGAACACAATAAACATTATAAACCAAGAAGCTAAAGATATAGCCGCTAAATTGAAGATAGATGGAAGAATAAACAAACAACATGCTTTCATGGCGGCAAAGGACTACAAAACCAACTTTGTAGAAAAACCCACATTCAGATTAATTAACCTGGCGAAGAGTAAGATAGGAAAAATCAGTAAAAACATAGTGGAAAATATCAACACCAGCCTAAGGGAAAAATTAGGTCTCAACCAGTGGAAGAACACCAAAGCTGTCATAGAGTGGTTTAAAACGATAGAAAACAAAAACAAATCCACTTTCATCCAATTCGACATAGTGGATTTCTATTCTTCCATCACAAAAAATATATTAAATGAAGCTATACAACTGACACAGCAACATGTAAAAATCACGGACGGAGATATAAAAATAATCAAACATTGCCACAAATCTCTGCTGTTCCACAAAAGTGAAACATGGACAAAGAAACAAAACCACGACCTGTTTGATGTAACAATGGGTAGCTAAGATGGATCATGGTATGCGAATTAGTAGGCATACTCATCCTCTCATACCTGGCCAGAATCCCGGGGAGAAAGGACACGGTATTATACAGAGATGGCGGTTTTATCTTAATAAGAGAACCCAATGGCCCAAATTAGACAAATTTAGGAAGAAAATAGTGAACGCCTTAAAAAGTATGGGATTCGAAAAAGAGATAAAGACAGGCATAGCAACAGTAAACTTCCTTGACGTCACTATTAACCTGAACAACAATACATACGAACCGTACAAAAAAAAAAACAATGACACCCCAATTTAGGTACACGCATCCTCCAACCACCTACCTTCAATCATCAAACAAATATCCATATAAATCAGCCGCAGACTATCTGAGAACTCATCTAACATACACATTTTCAATACAACATACAACGAAGCACTAAAAGCAAGTGGATACACACAACAACTACAATATACACCTCCACAGCCAAAATGCAAAAACAGAAAAAGAAATATTATCTAGTTTAATCCACCATACAACAATACCGTCAAAACGAACATAGGCAAGACATTCCTAAACTTAATAGAAGAGCACTTCACTGAAATAAACCGACCAGCAAAAATATTCAACAAAAATAACGTTAAAATCAGTTACAGCTGCACAAAAAATATAACAGAAATAATCAAAAGCCACAACAAAAAAATGGAACCTACAAAAATGAAACCAAGAATCCAAAATTCAACTGCAGAAATAGAACAACATCTCCACTCCAGGGAAATTGCCAACATACGAATACAATATATAAAGCCAAGGTAAGCGCAAACAACAGCACAATGGTGCCACTGAGGATCCATTCAAGAAGAGGAAAAACAACCACAACCTTTCATTCACCAACAATAAATACTCGAACAGCACTACACTATCCACATACATATGGCAGCAAAAGGGCAGAAATATCACACCAACAATAAGCTGGAAAATATTGAAAAGAGCACCTGCCTACAGCAACATTACAAAAAATGCTTACTTTGCCTACACGAAAAAGTAGTAATAATATCACACACCCCGCAAAAGAATTTACTAAACAAAAGATCAGATATAATCTCCAAATGTAGGCATGACAATAAGTACCTATTATCCGAATTTATACCAGATAAAAAAAACATCAACAATCACTCTTTAGTCCAAGCTACCATCACAATAATTTCATTTATTGTTATTATCATTCTCCCACCACCATTACTAATCACTTCTACCAATTTACAATAACCATTAGCTACTTATATTATCATTGCCACCAACCCCCGAACACCATTATTATCACATCACATCTACTATAAACTCGCTATAATTATTAACGTAAAAAACTACTGCCCGTCCCCACCCCCAGCATATTTGATACCACCATATAAAAACCAATAAGGATTACAAACTGCAATTTCTACCAGTTGCATATACGCAGTCATCAAAAACAAGCAAATTACCAGCTTTAAAATACTAAGAAATCAGCCTTAAAAAATAAGAGCAATTTTTACCTATGATAATTTTACACAGACCCCCCACCACCACACGTATATACGTGTGTGCAAGGAAATATTATTCAGCGAACGAATAGAAAAATGGTCTGATTGCTGACATGTATACAATTGACAAGACATTCACAAGAAATTTTCGCTACATTTCCGATTTTTGAATTTCAACATACAGATGTGTATGTATGTAGACAATAGCACACATATACATGCATATGTCAAGTCCCATACTGTCCACATATGTTTATGTTTGTATGAGCCCCGGCGGTCGAGCGAGTGTGTATGTGTGTGTCTACGTACCTCAACATGCATGTATGTTTACATTAGCACGAATGACATCACCACGACGATCCCCCGCCACTTCCATAATATCACTACTACACGCAATCTACAACCCTAATCCCTAATACTGTACAATGGGAGCATTTGCTTTCATTCCTGTCTCTTAACACATGCGGATCCTTTCTCCGGCGTGTGTGTATTATTATTATAATACACACTTACATATCAGTGGTTTTCGTCACATGAGGTCAGCCACTCACATAAATCCGCTTGTAAAAGTGAAACGACGCGTTTTCTTTGCGAAACAACTTCTACTGAATGCCTGCTCGGCAAAACTTCATACTAATTAACAATCGTCGAGACAACCTTATTTCACCTCTCTTTCTTTCACGTTCAATTGGTCAATCATAGTAGGAGAGACTATGTCAAAATCCGGACTTTGTAACATGAGAATATGTGGTAAGTATGATAAACAGATCTATCTTTCTTTTTTTTTTTTTTTTTTTTTACCTACTTCGTAAGTCAGAAAACACCGGAGAAAAGGATTTGTTACTGTTACCTGTAAATTAACAGAGCATGCCTAAGTTACATACTTACATACCTCTACTTACAAGAGCAATAAATTGTATTTTTTTAACTACAGTATAACTTTATAAACACCTGTTTTTAAAAAGTATATATATATATACTTCCTTTTCTTATTTGAAAACTTGTAAATGAGTACTGTTTGTACAAGGTGTTGAATGTTTTCGGAAATAGGTCACACTTCCCAAATTCAGTCTTTCACTGACCTAGCAATACTGATTTTGTGGATTGGGTCGAGTTGAACAGATTTCAGCACACACTCGTGTATATTTTTCACTTTACCCTACCGTCGTCCGATGAAATGTAAATGATGCTTAAGAAACTAAAAGTCAATTGTCAGACACAGTTAATAAGTGAATTTCGGAAGATGGTTAATGTGTCAGGTTCGATCTATGAAATCAATATTCAATATTAAATTAAGTGCATTGAGAAAGAATAAATGATTTATTTAATTCAAGAAAATAAATAAAGAAAGACAATGTCAAGAATTTTAAAAAATAGTCTCATATTTTGACTGAGATAGACAGATAAAAACTGACTGAGATAGATAGATAGATAGATAGATAGATAGATAGATAGATAGATAGATAGATTTTCATCGGACATTAAAATAAGAGCTGAAGTTAAAAGTTTAAAAGTCAGTAAGTAGCTCGGAAGATGTTTAGTGTATAAAGTTCGATATTCAATATTGAATACTGAATTAAGTGCATTGACAAAAAATTTTATTATTTATTTATTTTACAACTTATCGCTTTGTCAGTAATTTAAAGCCAAAGCATATTTGGGATTGTAAGAACAATAAATTTTATTTTACTTTTTGGGCGAGTGAATATCGTATTAACAAGTTTTTCAATATAACAATGTTTTTTTTCCTTATGCATACCTTACTATTTAACATAGAGCTATTGGGAGGAGATGGAGTCATCAGTTTCCCATTGATATTGACAAAGCTGAACGGGGTTTAAAAAGATTGAAGATAGCGAGTGATGCTCGGTGTAGATTTTTGAAGATTGTAGTTATCAGGGAAGCAAGGAAATGGAAGAGAGTTCCACAGGCGGGAAGTGCGAGAAAATAAATTTTTGAAGTAGAAGTGACGGTTTCATTTAATAATTCAACAGTATAAGGCTGGAACCTAGACGCCAATCTAGTAGCACACATAAATTCATAAATGTTGTAGTTTTTCATGAGTAGGCTACGGACTTATTGAAGTATCTATGTAGATATTATTGTTTTTTATTTTAAATCACCACGTCGTATGTTGAGGCTAATTGATTGCACGAATTCCTCTTAAAAGTGTTATATGTTTTAAACTTGTTAAATGTAGGCTATATTTTCGACTATAGTTTATCTTTGAAAGGAAAAAATCGCGTTCTACAGTTAAAATTATCTTTCCATCAAATTCCTGGTAAAGGACTATCTTCGTCAGAATTATCATCATAGTCGTAGTTGTAAAGGCGACGAAATGAAACTAGGCAGTGTAGTAGTTTATCATTACACTCTGGCTTGACTGATAGCAGAAAATCCGGTGTTAGTTAAATAGACAATGTCAATTTTTTTTAAACAACGTTTTATATTTTTACTTAATATGCCAAAAAATAAAGCTTGTGTAACTTAACACACACACACAAACATTTAACTTAACACACACACACACACACATACACACACAAACACAGACAGAGATTCGCCTCTGAAACTTTAAAAAAAGTAAGACCTTTCGGTAAATACACACACACAAACACACACACATACATACATACATACATACATATATATGTGTGTGTGAGTGTGTGTGTGTGTGTAAAGAATAGATTTTTCATTAAGTAATCCGATATTTTTTAATATACTGAAGGTTATTTTTAAGGGATACTCATCTAGATACTCTGTTTTTTGGGGTTTTTTTTTTCTTTTTATTAATTAGAATATTTGTTTATTTCTATCTACCGGCCAGAATATTCCAGAAATCTTATGAGAAAAATATGTTGGAGATCGTTTATTTTTCTAATAAGATTTCTCGAATATTCAACCCGGAAATGAAAATAAATAAATGTGCTGTTTAATATTTAAATAAAAACAGAGCATCTACTCAAACATGGTCATCCATTAGAAATAACGTTCGCGCAATATATATATATATCGAATGCAGAGCGATTTTGAACTTTTTCACCTTTTGAAACTTAAGTCTTAAAAACGTTTGAAAGGTGAACACACACAGACACATGCACGCACACACATATATTATTAAATCAAATATTCGCTTATCTTGTCTATACTTTAGAGATAGATAATGAATAGACCGATAGATAGATAGATAGATAGATAGATAGATAGATAGATAGATAGATAGATAGATGTTAAAATCGCTTTTAAAACTAATAAAATAAAGTTAACTTTTAGTTTTAATAGCATTTAGTTTTAATAGCATTTAGTTTTTAGCTCAACCTTTTTTATGTATAATATACAGATACACAAATATTTTGATTCGATCGGTTTTGTTAAAATAGTCCACTCTTTTTTAAATATTTTCAGAAGCTTTTGTTTCGTGTTGAATATAAAACAATTTAGGGTATTGGAAGAGAAAATATTGTCAATGTATTTCTCCTCCTCACATAAATACTGAAAACTACAAATTAGATTCTATTTAAAAATTCTCAGAATTTTTAGCTCTCAATATTTACATGAAGAGGAGAAATACTTTGAAAATATTTTTAGTTCCTCTAATACTCTAATTATTTCATATTCATTGCAAAACAAAATACTCGTAAAATATTTAAAAATAGTAGGATATATATATTTATATAAATATATTTATATGTATATGGCTACCTCAACTCCGAGTTTCCACTAAACTCTTGACTGGGACATAATAAATAAACATTTAATTTTATTTATTACTATTAATGTACTGTCTTTTGATATTACTATAATTTCAAAGGCCCCTTCTTCCTTTATGTGTCATGTCTATTCAGGACGTGGACGAACAAGGCCCTCCTTATCTTCCTGTCCCTTGTAGCTCTTAATAATTTTTTCTTTTTGTTATTTCTCCCAGACCCTATGCTGCCATCCATTTGCTCAAGCCCATTAAGTATGTCACGTGTTGTTTTCCCCGGTCCCTTTATCTCTCTATCCGTCTTGTGAGTATCAGATTTTCCAAGCCCTTCAACCTCTTTAGGCGTTTCAGAAATGCTTCTTCCTAATGGTAAGTATACGTTTCCTCTTTGTTTCCATTCTCTCCAAAACCTTGTCGTTGCTCACATAGTCGGCCCATGGTATCCTCAACATCCTTCTGTAGAAGCACAGTTCTGTTGCTTTGAGTCTCTTCTTCATCTTTGAGGATATTGTCCAGTATTCGCTAACATAACAGGAGGACAGATATCACGTAACAAGTCAGTACTATTTTCTTTAAAGCTTATTTGCTTTAAAAAAGAAGAAGCTCAGAAACTATATATATATATATATATATATAGTGGCTTGGATTGAGGAATCAGAGAGCCGAGTTCGCATTCCAGTCGAATCCATTACATCCACTTACGTGATAATACCCTTGGGAAATGTGTGAATCCTCTTCTTCTCCTCCAGCCATGGGTAAATAGTAAATAGCAGGACAGACCGGGTTCTATAGCTTTGGATAGCAACTGGTCTACCGCAGAAAAAAATGGCAACTTACTGCGGGAAAAAAATCTGCCTCGTCAGTCACGTATCGAAGGATACATGATCGCCTAAGAGTCTATCACGCATGGCACACGATTGACTGTTAATTGTAACTTCCGAATTATCGTTTTAACAGACGTAAGACTTCCAAAAGCCGCAATAACAAAAATAGATAGCATGTGTAACTAGGAGATAAAATAATGACATAATCATACTATTAACTTTACACCCAACCCAAAACAAAATAATAGAAAAATCTATAAGACTTAGTGGACTAAGTTTCTGATAAACTGTTTTAACCCTGCGTTAGTCACCTCAGATTTCCGAAAAATGGATAGTCCCCTGGCGTCTACTTACCACGACAAGTGACCTACAACTTCGCCACTCCGCGTGCTACATACCCTCATTGAGTCAGGAGAATCGTGGGAGGGAGCAAAAAATACAAGTTACCAACTAGGAATTACGGGTACGTTAAAATTTTGGAGGTATCAAAACGCGCCATGTGACTAACGAAGGATTTAAAGAATAAGTCTTTCATTTTATCTAATATGCTGATTTAGTGAGGCTCATTATTACATATTTAATTACGGTAATGAAATTTTCCAAATCAAACACAGACAGTGGTATAACACTTTGTGTTTGTAAAATTCTGTATGAAAATAAATTAAAAAAAAAAACTTGATTAAATTTAATAAATAAATACCAAAGAAATATTGACGAAATTGTTTGCTTGTCAATTTCGAATTTCATTCCATAATTACAGTGGCAAATATTTATAGTCATTATTACTAGTATGTACATTCTAATCTTACTGATATAAAAAAAATTTGACTAAAATATTTTTTTGCTCGTAAAACAATAAAACCATCATAAAAATTTTCTACTGTTTATAAGATCCCAAATTTCATTTTAGTTATTTTGTTAACAAATGCCGGTAAGAATTGCATGTTTACATATTTGTGCATAATTTTGCAGTAATAAAACACCTAATGTAACTAAACCAGTGTTAAGAAAGACATTTTATAAATTTCAACCTGTCTATGAATGTTTTTCTGTCTGAAAACGGCTATTTTCACCATTACTATTATAATCATAAGTTTCCTCGCATTCGTCATCGGAAATATTTTTTTTTTTTGCTTTGTTTCTAAAGAACTTATATGAGTATATGGGTTCACCTATCGTTCGGTTCATACTCCTCACCAATCTTTTGAACAGGAGTAGAGGTTTATCTCTTGGTTTCCTGTTTAGGTTTGAGTTTCGCTGTTCCTTCTATCGTCTGCTTCTGCCGTATACTCCCAACGCTTGTTCTTTCCTACGTTAATATAAGTCCACACAGTAACCCTCTACTTTGAGTGGTTCTTGGGCCATGTATATTTTACCCGCAAATTATTAATTAGCCGATGACTTCTAAATTATAAGAAACGTACCACGTAATAGTGGAACGATTCAACAATTCAACATATGAAAGTAGTCATTTAAGACGACAAGTACAAGTGACACAGGAAATGTTGAAGAGTAATATATATATATATATATATATATATATATATATATATATATATATATATAATAAGTATTTTTTTATTTTGCCACTTGCTGCTTTTGAACCTTTGTAAGAACAAGTGGCACAAAGAAGGCGTTTATAAAAGAAAAAAAGTACTGTTTAGAGTAGGGTTGCTCACGTCCTTGAAGGGAGACGACGTGGAGAAAGAAAGATCGAAAAGTATGCTGTCAGCTTTAGGCCTTTTCTTATTTTACTGCCACTCCACCCACTACCCTGTTAGCTTTAAACATTTTTCTGTACGAACAAATTAGATATTTATTAGAGAAAGTTTTTCTATTCAAACTCGATGTGTTACGTTTAAAATGGAAGCCTTACTGATAGTAATTTCGCCAAGCACACACACGCACACAAACACGGTTTACGGCCGTATCACGTTGAAACACCGGTTCTCGTACGATCACCGACATTAAGCAACGTCAGTACTTAGATGGATAACCGCCTGGGAATACCTGGTGGAAATAGCAGTTGCTGTAAGCTTGGATGTGCGCACGGTAAAATGGATAACTGCTCGGAATTGGAAATCAGAAAGCCGAGTTTCAATTTCAGTCGGATTCGTTTATTTAGGTATACGCAGATACCATGACCTTGGGGAAGGTATAAAAGCCACCTCTTCTCCCACTAATTATGGGTTAACTAGTAAGACTTGTAACAGTAAAAACAGACCACATATACAATATATATATATATATATATATATATATATATATATATATATATATATTTTAACAAAAGTATAGTTTTAACAAGCTATGGTGGACACTGAAATCAACACCGATCAGCGACAGTCTATTCCATTCTTGAACGCAATCTTCAGGCCATTCTTTTTATATATATATGTGTGTGTGTGTGTGTGGATAGGATAAAAAATCTACATACACATACATATAATTGCACGTATATATAAATATGTTTCTTCCTCAAGTGTTATAAATACAGTGGTCAATGTTATGAAACAGAGCTATAAGTATATATTAGTGAATATACATAATATCCAACGTTGATGCAGTTGCATGAAACTCCGAGTCGTGCTATCGACGTTGGATATTATGTATAGTCACTAATATATATATATATATATATATATATATATATATATATATATATATATATATATATATATATAATTAAAATTAAACATACGCATGTTATAACATCACTACAAAAATAGCCATTTTGTTTCAACATTTCTGGTGTCTTATCAAGTGAGATATTCACTAACCGCCCCACTTAGGCTTGACCAAAAATTCCCTGTAGACCCCGTAAAAACGGAGTCGGGTAGCTGTCTCCCGAGACGAGACCCTGTCCTTCAACATAGCCTCGTCTAGGGATCCTCTCGGTAATTCGGATAATGATTTTCTAAGCGTAGCTTAGATGTGGCACAAAGCCGAAAATATGGAACCCCCAGTGAGAATAGAACTCACTAGTCAGTCGTAATTGATCTAGCGAGACAAACTTGTTAACCATTGCACCACGATAAATAAATTTTAATGCAAACCTATCGTATTCAATACCACTAAAGCAAATAAGAAAAATGAAATAATAGATAAGTGAATATATATACAAATATGTATCATATATATATATATATATATATATATATATATATATATATATATATATAAAAAGAGTCCACGTGTGCTTCATATAGTTTATAATATAGAGTAGATAATTTGGTCAATAAAACAAAGTTAAACGAAAGGTTACCGATAAGATCGGTACGAAAATCATTTATTAATGTTAACCAGCTGACAAAAATGAAGCACGGAGAATGAGGTTCCAAGTTCGGAATTTTCGAACACGCCTGTGTTCTTCATCAGCGGATGCGAGAAATAATGAGAGGGACGGTGAAGACTATCCAACATTAGTTCTTGAGGCTGGGTAGCGTCCACTTGTAGGTGGAATTGTTAGAAAAAAATCCGTTCCCTGTTTGATTTCTCGCTTTAGATTTAAAAATTGTATTGATGGTGGGTGGAAGGGGAGTGAGATGTTGAATATAGAGGAAAAAAGATTAAAGGACCAAGGGCGGGGGCGGTATAAGTGTTGAAAGATTTTGGTAGTTAGGATACAGTGTGGGAACATAGCGAAATTGTCAATAAAATAAAATGAAAGAGAAAAAGAAAAAAAAGGAAAAGATAGAAGAAAGAAATAGCACAAAAAGGGGATAAAGAATTATTTTAGGAGAATATATATATATATATATATATATATATATAGTGTGTGTGTGTGTGTGTGCGATGGGTAAATTGCCGCCATTTTATATTTTTATTTTCGCCGATGCACGTTCTTTGCTTTTGATTTTGTCGACTGCACAGTTTAGTAGGCTAAGTTGGGTACCGTCTGTAAGTAAAGGGTGCCATGACGTAATTCACACCACCAGAAATATGATATGGCGATTTTATTGAATAAATTTTTCTCTTTCGTATTTCAAGATATTGTTTGTGTAATATATCTGTTAAAATGTCCTGTCAGTGTTATTTTGCGTAATTTAGACAATTTATCGCACCCTGTATAAATGATGGACTGTCCCGTTGAATTCAATAACCTCATTCAGTTTTCATATTTGTGTGGGATGTCACTCTTCAGTATCGCTAGGGACCTGTATACACGTCCACATATTGTGCAACAACGAGGATCTCGGGACTTAGCAACAAGATTATTTGCGGTGGATTTTCACTATTGTCTTTTGCCTCTTAGCCGGTCAATATGACTGATTTCAAACACACACACACACACACACACACACACACACACACATATATATATATATATATATGTGTGTGTGTGTGGGTGTATGTATATAGTCAGCTCAGTACCATACGTGATACAGGTTTAGGAGATCATGTCTCTTTATATATGACTGACTAGGCAGAAGGTTTTTCCCGCCATAGGTTTTCATTTCTTTCTGCGGCAGACTGGTAGCAACCAAGGCAATAGAACTCAATCTGCACTGCTATTTAACCCATAGAAGAGATGGAATCGAGACTTTTTTTTGAATGTCATGCATGGCTCCAAACTAGTTCAAAAATATCTAAACTATCTATACATCCGCTTTCTCAGACCATTGGTTAAAAAAAAAACTGTGGACGTTTAAAAACTATATGTCCAAGCAAAGACCATCCTTCATTAAACCTTGTGGACTGGCACTAGAGAATGACATACAAAGAATTGTAACAATAACTGAAACTACTTCATTTAAGGACTTTCAACAACAGCAACAACTAAAATGGATAGCGTATGTATCTAGAGCAGAAAATAATGACATAACTGAGATGTTGACATTCCACACTACTTCAAACAAAAGTTTAGGAAGGAAACCCCCATTTGTACTGGAAAGAGCAATAACAGTTTGAAATGTATTTCTTGAGAAACTTATTTTCCTGGAAAACTTGTTATAGGAGAAAAACTCGATAAATTTCAACCGAAAGTAGCAATGGCTACTCAGTCATTGAATGGCATGTTTTCTTATGAGGAAACGGATATATTGCCATTACCCTTAATATAGCTGGACACAAATAATGGCATGTTATGTTATTATTATTATTACAGAGCTTTCATGTATGAGGTTTTTAATAAATAAAAAAAATCATCAAACCTATCTAAATAAATAAATAAGTATAGAATCAGTGGAGTATCAGTACTTTGTATGTATCTTTGTCTTTGCAAGTTAATTTTACCTTGGAATCAACGCAGGAGTCATTTTATCTTATCTTATATATATATATATATATATATATATATATACCCTGACGAATGGACGGAGTGATTGTTGGACGGTCCGGCTACGAAACACTAGGGTCGGGATGATGAAGGTAACACTAATCAGCTAAGTGAGAAACTTTATATTTGTATTAATCCTATATATAGAATTAATACATTTATAAAGTTTGTCACCTTTATATAAAATATAAAGTATGTTACCTTCAGCATCCTGACTCACTTCGTACAATGAGGAAGGTGCTGCCGAAAGGTTAAATTCCTCGAGACCAGGCGCCTTCTCGCACGTAAAATGAGAACAGATACTACGCTTTGATCCCCAACTCATTTTTTGCTGAATAGAACTAAACACAAAACTAATGGCGTCTTCTTGCTCTGAAACTATGATAACGATATTTAGCTGAGTTGCATTATGTGATTAAAAATCATTACTGTTAATTTTTTTTCACTGACCTAGCAATACTGATTTTGTGGATTGGACCGAGTTGAACAGATTTCAAAACACAGGTGTATATTTTTCACTTTACCCCACCGTCGTCCGATGAAATGAAAAATGATGCTGTTTTTTTTAAAGCATTAGCTTCTAAAACTTTTATATTAGTCCTATATGTGAAAAAAAATCTGTAGAACTCGTTTTAATATCATGTTGAAACAACGATTCCCGTACCAACCCCGAAGTTAAGAAAATATCGAGCCTGGTCAGTATCAAGTTGTGTGACCGCTTGGAATTGCTAATCACAAAGAACAACTCCAATTTCAGTTGAGTTTGTTATATTCCCTAACGTGCAGATACCCTTGGGAGAGGCGAGAATCCACCTCTTCTCCCCCTTCTATAGATTAATTAGTAAGACGTATCTCTCTAAATCTTTATTATCTCAAAAAAAGAAACTAGAAATCTTAAAATTTTTCTGGCTTTAAATAACCACCCAAAAGGTTGTTAAACCGTAAAAAACAAATCCATCAATCAGAAAGAATTCTAGGAAATAATTATAAAATAATGTGTATATGCCCTTCATTGATTCAGCCCTATTTCCAAATTTTAACATTAAGGTTTTGATTTTAAACATACATATTTGTCTTTTTTTAACCTTTCAGGGAAATTAACTTTTCCGCAGATCTATAATTAATTAGCACCCACCACGATTAACTAATTATCGAACAGCGTAAAAGTTAATTTCTCTGAAAAATTAAAATGACAAGTTTCTACTCTCGCACAACTCTGTTCTAGAATTCTCTTCCAGCTTTTTGCTTTTCAGTGAAGTTTGATCTTCAAAAATTTAAATGACATGTCAGTTGTTACCTTTTGTCTTCTTAATTCCTGTTCTTTTATTGTTCTCGCACCTTAATATTGTTTTTCGCTTACTTACATTCCTTTACGCTCAGTAAGAACCCCCCCCCCCCAACTGCTGCTTTTTTGTGGGTTTATTGCTTTGTATGGGGTAAAATGATTATAAAATAAAATATGTAAATATAAGTTTAAAATCTGTTAAGCGCATAACTGTATACAGGGTTCTAGACAAAGCTGTATGTCTAATTGTGCCGCGACGCTGTGTTAATATGATTTACAAAGAAAAATGCTGTTGTTCTATGTAAGACATGAGGATGAATTACTGGCATGAATAAAATATCTGAATTGTAATAACTCAGGTCTTCATATCTATTCAACGACTCCACACATGTTCGTATTCGCTATTCAACACTTGAATTCGCTTCAGTAAGCACAGGAATTCGTTTTCAAGAGGAAGAATACTCAACATTAAAGGAGATTACTGTTTCATACAGCAGTTTTCTCTCTTTTCTCTCTCTCTCTCTCTCTCTCTTTCTTATTTCTTCCTCCCTCGTTAACTTATGTGTCTTTGTACCATTTCCTTCCTTCTTTCTTTCCTATATTTACTCGGTCTATTTATAGATAAGTTCGCACACTTGTCTAATTATACCTAATTCCAATTACACACACACACACCGACTCATATATATATATATATATATATATATTTATATATGTATATCCATTTTATATATATATATATATATATATATATATATATATATATATATATATATATATATATATATATATATATATATATATATATATATATATAGTAAAAGGCACGAGAACAACTCGAGGTAGAGGGTTTTATATATATATATGCAGAAATAAAATATATATATATATATATATATATATATATATATATATATATATATGATTAATTATTCTATTTCTGCACACCCTATAACTCTCTTGTGTACCACCATGTGCCGTTTCAGTTCAGATGATGATCTGCGAACCTTGTTGCAAAAAAAAATACAGGTATTGTCGGAAGGACGGGAAGGCAGACTGGCATAGTTGGCTTGCTTCTGGTTGTTGCGATGAGCTTTTTGATGCGTTACATAACCTGCCCTCGACAACAGCATGCGCTCACGTACCCCACTTTTCCAAAACGGCATATTAGCAAATCAAAGATTGTGCCTCTTCGGAGATCACGCATTCACCCTTAAAGTCGTTGCATCACTCCCTATTAAATTGCTTCAATTCTGTACGATTTAAAGTCAGTTCTTCCCAACGCTGCATATCCATGTGCAATGCAGTCAGATTATCCTTCATGTTATCTTTAAACGTCTTCCTAAGCTTGTCTTGTGGGCACTGTCCTGTTTTTAGTTCCCCGTAGAAAAGTTATTTGGAGATTCTGTTAACCACCATTCTCATAACATGTGATACGCATCGCATCTGGTTGAGGATTATTATTGTTTCAATATACTGTTGCATTCAGATCTTTGGCGGATAACAGTGTCTGAATTAAAAGACTGCCTGATGCTATGATCGTTTGTCTAGAACCCCTAGTCATATGTACTGATGTTTTCAAGCTTCGGTGATTCTTTCAGATCACCCTTATAAGACTACGTTGGTTTATGGGCAGGTCGTAACTCTCAATACAAATGTCCTCTGAAATAAAGCATGACCAACATGACCAATCCAGCCATATATATATATATATAAATACACACACACACACACATATATATATATATATATATATATATATATATATATATATATATATATTACATGAATTATTCATACAAAAAACAGATATAGAAGTTAATGATATTATATTTAATATTTAAGTGCCTTTAATTTTTGTATGAATGATTCATGTAATGTAAATTGAACTGCACCACATTAATAATATGATTAATACAAATATAATATTTACCACTTGCGTGATTGCTGTTATATTCATCACCTCTACTTCAGAGTTTTGTCGATGAAACTTTATGCAATCGTTCGGTCCAGTCGTCAGGAGGTATCAGCAATTTTCTGGGGATTTTCACGTTTTCGCTATTCTTATAGCGAGTTAAAAAAAATTAATAATTCATGCGCTTTTTATTGTTGTGAGTTTGATTTTTCTTCTTTATGTGAGTGTATGTGTGTATGCGCGCACCTGTAGCTGCGTGTGTACGGTTTTGCATGTCCACGTGCGTAGGATGTCATGGTTATTTTCTTCTTTTAATTATTTTCTTATACACCACCATTATTCCCTTTCTTTCTTTTTTTCATTTTTCGGCTCTGAGTGTCAAAAGATAATGTAACAATGTTATTTCCGGTGTCAGAGACAAGGCTCATATTTAGGCTAATTATTCTGAGGATTTCTGAAAATATAAGTGTATTCTGTTTCTATTTCAAATAATGATAATTATTTTTTTTTATAGATGCTTAAATCGCAATATATATATATTACACCGGCCTGAATGTCCGAGAAATTTCATAGAAAATATGTATCCGTCCACTGGAATCGAACCTGTATCCTACACAGAACCATCATATAGTCTGACGTGCTATACCATTTAGCCACAGAGGAAGCGTCTAATTAGTAAAGTCAAATGACTGTTTTTCCCATGATTTTTTTCGAATGCTCATATCTAATCGAAGTGTATCTTAAAGTAAACAAATGACATCATATATTATGAAATGGACTAAGACCGACAATTATTTTAATATATTTTCTATTATTATAGATACAAATATTTAAGTAAATTCTCTCTTTCTAATAAACACTACTTTTAAAAACCAATTTGACTTTAAAAGATAAAGATAAAAGAAACCAAAGAGAAGCTAAAGACAAATAAATAAAAAATAAACGACAAATAAGAAAATGATATATAACAAAAAAGGAAAGAATAACTAGAAAATTCTGACACATACCGACCTAATAATTTAAAGTGCACAATGCCTCGACCAAATAGACGAAGACAGCGCAGTAATCATAAACAATAGCATAACATTTTTGTACTATTCATCCATGTACAGCGCTGTATATGGATATATCATTAAAAATGTTGCATATATATATATATATATATATATATATATTGTGTATTTAGGCAGTAATCCCTCTTTTATACATGTTTCATTAAAGACGATAGACAAGGTACTGCGATTAAGCGTTTTATTTAATTATTCTTGTGTACAAACAAGTGTTTTCTATAACCCTCGATGTATACACACAACCGATATATCCAGTTAAAAAGTAAAAATAAAGTCATCCTTTATAATGGCAAAAAGTATAGCCTAAAGCGTTCGGAATTACAGAACATTTGGACAGTTTCGAAACACTGTGTGTCCAGAGAAGAAAACACTTGCTCAAACACAAGAAAAATTAAATAAAAAGCAATCACAGTATCTTGTCTGTCCTCTTTAATAAAACATATATATATATATATATATATATATATATATATATATATATATATATAAATTGATATGTCTTTTTTTAAATTGATTGTCTTTTTTCATAGTTCTAACCATGTTTCAAAAATGGAAGCTAAAAGCTCCGAATTTAATTTTGTAATTAAATTAAAAACATTAGTTTCATTTCATCCTCAATCGAATTTTGGAGTAACTTTTAAAATTACTGTAAAATGCTCTGTAAATTTACATTGAGCAGTATTTTGTAAAAATAAAAATATCTATAAGAACACCGCATTATATATCTTACTGTTCTTTCTTTATATATATATATATATATATATATATATATATATATATATTATTTAAAATTGCCGCATTTGTCGGGTAACAGTGCTCAGTAGCCGAGATTGGGCGTTTAGAAATAGGTGTCGACATAGGGATCGACACTGTATGCTGACGGTCAGTTTAGCACGTCAATACCATCCTTAGACCAAGTCTTGCCGTGTTAATTCTTATGTCTCCACTGTCCTAATCTATAAACACTCTATCTCTGATATTGAATACTGCGTCTAGATAAATATATCAAATCTGAAGTATTACTATTTAACCCATAGAGTGGGGGCAAATGGTTTCATACCTTTCTCGATTATATTTATGCGTAAGTGAATAGAACAAACTGGACTAGAATTCGAACTCGGCTCTCCTTTTTCCGAGCCACTATACATTACACTAGCTCTGACTGAATCTGAATAAGAGACATATTGATGTAGGACTGAATAAAAAGTCACATGTTTATGCGATGTGGAACATTGAATAAGTTTCTAGAAAAGAATCACTCAGTTGTGTAGGAGAGGGTTTCCCTGCCTAGTTCAACATGATAACAGACATTCTATTCCGTCATTGTTAGGGCGTTAGATTCTCACGGGTTTCTCTCTACAACTACGATCCGGCTAGTGTAAATCTGGCGCACATTATTGCAGGTAGGATCCCAAGTAATTAACATAACACGTTTTTTCTTAAAAGAAAGAAAACAACAAAACAATTTTGAATTCTGTCCCAACTCATACCGTCCTTGATAGAACATAATACATAACCTTTTGTTCCCTAAATTGAATTAAATCCGGTTGCGTTCATACATAAACGTTTATCTTCTATATTTTTTCTCAATTTTAACAGGAACGTTTCTTTTATTTGAAATCCTAAATAAACATCTATTTAATAAAAAAAAAGACAAAAAATACACAACAACTCTTCTATCTATTTACGGTACATTTTACGTTTACTTCTCTCCCAGAAAATAGATTGTCTCTACAATTACCTGACTCCTCTTATATCCACTGGGGATCAAAGGCACGACGGATCAGATTGTGGTTACTCCAACGAAGGAGAACGCCGGTTTGAACCCTGTAGCGGAACATTTTCTTTATTAAGATTTCTAGGGTTGCGTAAGCCGACAGATGCAACACACACTGTTAAAAAAAATAAATGAATAAACTAAAATAAAATAAAAACGGAGGATCTTTTTCATATACGGGTATCCACAAAGTTTGAAGTAATAAATATGTTTATATATGGCGTGTTTATCTAAAAATAAATACGCTTAAATTCACTTTCATCCCTGCCATGCACCAACGGCTTAGGGGTAGATTATCCGATGACGCCAATTCAGCCGGATTTCGATTCTAGCTAGAGGCAACCAGACGTCTAGCCACACTGATGAGCTGTCGTACAGCAAAACAGTCTGTCTGTGGATGATAACATATATGGTCCTGAGAACTCTGCGGAAGAAGTGTGAGGTTGTAAACAGTGACTATTACTGCTACTAATGCAATACTCTTCGATAAAACGAATCGAGTTCTCTCAGTCACTGGCGTGTTTGTATAGAAATAAATACGCTTAAATTCACGTTCATCTGTGGTTAGATTTCCGGTTGCCTCTACCTTAGGGGTAGAGGCAACCAGGCATATATATATATATATATATATATATATATATATATATAAATTCATAAATAAACGGAACGTCTACTATATATATAAAAATATTTATATATATATATATATATATATATATATATATATATATATATATATATATATATATATATAAATAAATATATGTAGTAATCCATTGGTATAATCCAAGCAAGTGTTATAGAATATTAAATATTAAATGCGAAAACTGACTCACAAAGAGAGCTGAATGTTTATTTTTCATTAAACAGAGCAAAATATTTCATATAACTAAATATATATATATATATATATATATATATATATATATATATAAAGAAAGAACAGTAAGATATGAAATCCGGTGTTATATATTTCATATGCTCAATATATATATATATATTAACTATTTAAAATATATTTTTTCGCTACACAGTAATAACCATGTTTCAAAAAATGAAAGCTAAAAAACTTTAAGTTTATAAAAATAAAATTTACAATCAGAGAAATGAAATAGCTATTTTTGCCGTCATTGTCAAAAAGCCTGAAATAATATTTAAAAATAAAATTTAAAAATCCGACCTGAATATATACTTATATTTGATATTAAAAATTAATTTAATATAATGTAAATTACATATACAATAATATATAGTATAAAATGAAATATACTCTATTAAAATTAACAGTGAAAATATTTTTAAAAATTGTAGTAAAAATAAAACGTATTCTAAACTAAACATCCTTTAAAAAATTATAACAAATAAAAATAAAACGAATTCTAACCTAAACATATCTCTCAAAATAAAAAGAATCTAAGAAAACACCTAAAGTAAAATAGAAGCTAATAAGAAAAGCTAAAATATGTAAGCCAATAAATGACCCATGTCTTTTATACATGAGAAACTATATATTACGAGGTTTATATATAAAATATAAAAAATAAAAAATTTACTGAATAAGAGAAATGAAATAGCTATTTTTTGCCGTCATTGTCAAAAAAAGAAAAATAAAATTTAAAAAAAATGTGACCTGATAATATATACTTGTATTTGATATGGAAAAATAATTTTATATACTGAAAGTAATTCTATTACATTTACTTGTTTCAAAATGAAATATAGTCTATTAAAAATTAAAAAAGAAAAAATGTTTTAAAATAGTAGTTAAATAAAATGTGTTCTAACCTTTCCCAGAAAAATTTTAAGTATACAAATAAAAAAAAAATGCCGTAAGAAATTTTTGCCGTTAATAAAAAATTAAAAAAAAAAAAAAAAATCAGACGACATGAATTTAACGGATGTTAGAATTCGTTGAAAAATACATCCCCATTTAAAATAACTTTTTTTTCGAACGTTACAGTTCGCCCCAAAATTCGGTTGAGGATGAAATGGAACTAATTTTTTAATTTAATTTTAAAAAATTTTAGCTTCAATTTTTTGAAACATAGTTATAACTGTGTAAATATTTTAAATCAGTTAATTTATAATTATATATATATAAATATATAATATATATATATATATATATATATATAAAAAGAAAGAACAGTAAGATATGAAATCCGGTGTTCTTATTGATAGTTTCATTTTTTACAAAATAGTGCTCAATGTAAATTTACAGAGCATTTTTTAAATTAACTCATTTAAAATATGCTTTTTCGCTTAATACCCATATTTCAAAAATGGAAGCTAAAAACTTTTAAATTATAAAAAATAAAAAATTTATTGAATCAGAGAAAGAAATAGCTATTTTTTGCCGTCATTGTCAAAAATTTGCTTGAAATAATATTTAAAAATAAAATTAAAAAATCCGACCTGGTAATATACATACTTATATCTGATATTAAAAATTAATTTTATATAATGTAAGTAATTCTATTACACATACAATAATATATAGTATAAAATGTAATATACTCTATTAAAATTAACAGTGAAAATATTTTAAAAATTGTAGTAAAATAAAACGTATTCTAACCTAAACATCCTTTAAAATTGTAGTTAAATAAAATAAAACGAATTCTAACCTAAACATATCTCTCATATATATATATATATATATATATATATATGAAATATGTGGTACAGTTCAATTTATATTACAATGAATCATTCATACAAAAAGGTGCATTAACTTACAAATTACTCGATGAATGTTATGATTCTTGTACAGCTTACAATTTTTAAAAACAAGGATCATGTATGAATGATTCATTGTAATATATATATATATATATATATATATATATATATATATATATATATATAGGCCGTTGTACACTCCGGCCTTCTTCATGTACATGTCTAATGGATGTCAGTTATCAGCTATCTCTTGCTTAATTCCCTCTCCAATTTCTCCACCGCCTTAAACCAGGTATTGAACTCACACTGTTTAAGGACATCTGTGCATGAATTTCTGGGTATTATAAACCTAATGTATTCAGCAACCATTTTTTATCAGTGCTCATATTGCAATTTTTGCTGTTATCATTGCATGTTTTTACCAGAGCTCATATTCCATTTTTTTTTTATTATCGCTTTTCTCTGACACTCCTTATTACTTGTTCCCATATTGTATTCATTTCTGTGCTTGGTCGGCTCAGGAGATTTTTGTGGCCTAGCATGTGTGCTGATTCCTTAAGTTTACGAATTTTCCAATGATGTTATTTGTCTATGATCCCAACTGGATCTCACAGAGGGCGGTGATCTCCCTTTTCTCTCCATATGTGGTCAGCCACGCCTGATTTTTCCACTTCCCCTCGTGTTACAGCTTTCTGGTGTTCTTGAAGCCTTACCTTAAGAGGGCGGCTTGTCCACCCTTTATATTTCTTTCCGCAGTTGCACAGGATAGCGTACACACAGTCTTTAGTCATGTTTTCCTCCATAGGAGGTCTTGGGAGAGATATCTGCGAAGTGTCGTTCAGCTTTTGAAGGTTGTCCTGATATTATATGGACCACAGATAATTTGTATTTTCTCTGATAACCCCTTCACATAAGGCACAGACGTCCTCAAGGACACATGACACAGTGAATAAAGGCGTTATCCAGTGATAAGACCCAAAGAGTGTGAGTTCAATACCTGGTTAAGGCGGTGGAGAACTTGGAGACGGGAATTAAGCAAGAGATAACTGATAACTGACATCCATTAGACATGGCACGTGGAACTAGAACAGTCTACCCCAGTGAGCAAAATAAAGGGTTCAGTTTGACATTCCAATCCCCTGTAGAAGGCTGGAGCATACGACAACCAAAACCTAATAAATATGGCGACAAAGATGAGGACAATAGTCCGAATAATGTAAATAGTGTGCATGATTCCTCATCTCAGAAATATAGACAGATACTGAAAAACAGTCGTGTAAAATGTCGTGGGTACCCAATAATTACCAATTATTAAAGCTACTTTAATTAAAAATCACACTCCTCTACGCCTTTTTGAACAGGGGTGGATGTTTATCCCTTGTTTCCTGCTTAGGGTTAGGATTCCGGTTTCCTTCTAAATCCTTTTCCTTATATAACTCTCTACTGGAGTGGCTCTTGAGCCTTTAACGGAGTGAATAGCAATGTAAAAAAAAGAGAAAGTAATGACATTTTGTAATGATAAGGCAAAAACTCGATCATCATATCTGCGGCGTTATAAGGGGAGTGGCTGGGGTAAGCATGTACGAATTTGTTCAGTTTAAAATTAGTTTTTCCACGAATGGACTGCCTTGTGAGAAAAGTAAACAATTACCCCTTAAATAGAGAAAAACGAAAAATTCCGAATTCTCGTTTTTATTGTTCCGTTTTTTGTTTTTTTATGATAGTTTTTATTTTATTTTTTCTGTTTAATTATTATTTTTTTTTACTTTTTTGTCTGTTATTTGCTTTTCCGTTCTCTTTAGTTTTAGCTTTTATTTATTTTTACTATTTATTTTTCTCTCCATGCAAAGTTCACATATTGCCAGCCAGAAGTTAACCAGACACTAAATACAACCTTATGTAATTTTCACTTGACCTTAAAGAATGCAACTTTGCATTATATTCATATCCCTTTCCTTTTGTGTAATTGCCCCCAGACAAAGAGTACTACTCATTGTATTGGGATTAACTATCTTGCTTTTCGTTACTGTCTTGTTATGAGTACGCTG